GATGACACTGATCTGTAAAGAGCAGCAAGATTATCTGTCCATGAAATAAACTTTCAGAGTCGCATGAGAGAAATAACAAATCTTAAAAGGTTTTTTTTTTTGCAGGTGCTTCCGCAACATAGTTATCCCGGCAGGGAGCGTGTTAATGGTTCTGAGTACATAGACATTAGTCTGCTTAAAGCATTAGTAGAAGTCCGTACTGACCTCAGATCAGCAGGGGTGCCATTAAGAGACTATCCTTAGAGAAAGGACAGCTTGGCACTGGACTCCACAATAAGCTAGCAGCCCTGGAATGACACTTTTGATTGTATGATTCATACAGAAGCTGTGTCAAGGACAGCTCACTTGGTCCCAGAGAGAGCGGCCTAAATTATAAATGAAGGGACTCCACAGAAGTCCTCATCTTCATTTAATGTTAAAGTCCCTTGGCGAGTAACTATTGTTTTTTAAGGGATAGTTCAATCAAATTCAGTTTTTTTTTTTTTACTCACTCTCATGTCATTCCAAACCCATATGCTGTTGCTTATTTCTGTACAACACAAATCATTTTCTTCTTAAAACATTCTTGAGAATAAAATTGAGCTTAACAGCTATTTTCTTCAAAAATACAAACAAATAGAACAAATATACTGTAAGAATATGTTGTATTCCCAGAATCTTATCCTAAGAATGTTCTTTCTTAAGATGCGCTTAAGACACAATTTAAGAAGTATTCATATTCCTGAAAGGAACGTTCTTAAAAACCTCCAACCTGTCTTAAATACACAAAAGTTAGATGATTAATGATATTATTGGGTTGTTTCCGATACTGTATATATTGCAATATAAAATTTAGCTACATATAATACACATTACTAGTACCATGTCTATGAATGATCATTTGCGCACTTACATGATGCTAGCTTGAAGCACTAGCGAGGACGCATTCACAGATTACTGGCTGTACACATTGAGATGAACCCTCATGCTCTCTTGCCTATCCGAGGAACTATTTAGATATAGAAAAAAAAAAATGGTGGTGTTCCTGTTATACAAGCTGTTCGGACTATGCATTATGTGATCAAAACCACAGATCACACTATTACATATCACGCATTTCATTTATTGCCCTTGGGCCCCATTGACTTAAGGTACGCCTCATTACACACTGCCTGCACATTTCACTTGAAGGCAATCCTTGGACGGCCATCAAAAGATATAAGCACATACATATAGCATGGTCTGTCTGAATACTCGATTCTCATTGGTTGGAATTGTTGAATGCACAAGTAGATCCAGTCAGCAAACACACAGAAAAATACAGAAGCAATGAAACTCGTTGACAATGTTGCCCAGCAACTTTTGTCAATAAAATAGCTTCACTAATATCTAAAATATAAAGTCATGTAATGCACACCTAGCTGTAGATTGTTCCTTATTTATTATAAACAATGTATCTGTGCACATCATTTTTAAAATAATAAAATATCACATAATATTTATTCAAAATTCAGCATCTCTTCTCTGATGACTCGCATAATGACATCACAAATAGCAAACCACAACGATCCAGTCAATTCCTGATGGACAAAATCAAGTCCCGCCCCCCTACACTTTGTATTTTCTTCCTATTGCGACTCTGTCACAATAGGAAGAAAATACTACTTCAACTTCTGTTTCATGTTTAATTTTGGAACCTGTTTACACCATATATGTGTGAACTCTCATTCAATCTCTTTTGATGCAAATTGTTGTAATCGTACCTGATAAACAATAATTGTGTGAGTGTTAACACTAAATTATTCTGGAAGAATAATACTTAGGAAATGGAAAATAAAAGCATCATTCACTGCATCCTGTAGAGGTGCGAGATGAGTGCATATCAACAATATCAGCGCTAAGGAATGCGCTACAACCCTGCAGGAAAATGCAGGTTTAATATAGTTTGCAATTTTGAAATACTAGCTACTAACTTGATTAAGTTCCTGATCCACCTACTGACGACAAGCTTGGATCAGCCACTAGCCTGCTTAGACATTAGATACTATGTTCTAAGATAAAAAGTTAAGTGTGTTTGGTTGTTTAAAATGAACTAAATCGCATAATCAAACATTGTTTACCAGATTAGGCCTTTAGGTGGATATTCACAAATAGATGACCACTTTTGTAACCATGTTGCTACAAGTGCAAAACACTTTGGAGAAGTATGGAAGTCACATATCAATTGAGAGCAGCATGACAAAATTACTATGGTCATTCCATATTTATATTCATCTGGCAATCTGAGTGGAGGACCAACAATAAAAACGATCATAAACGAAGAAAGCCTTCATTGTACAGCTGAATGTTTCGTCTTTGACAGCTATGACTAGCCCGAGATAATACAATGCAAAGCAAACACAAGAAATGATGCAATCTGGTCGGCTATTGTCACGCAAATATTATATTCATAATGAGCCAGATGTACACGTAAACATAAGGTTCTTTTTCATAGTCCACCTACACAACGTAGCCCACCAGCATGGGGAGAGAAAACCGGTCGCTTCCCAAGTAATGCTGGCATTAAAAAAAAGGGTGACCAGTGGTATTTCCTAATAATACACGAAGGATTTTATGTAAGGATTAATTCCCATGATGCCTTGTGGATTTGATGCATATACTTAAAGTATGGCAGCGCCTATTAACACAAAGTGCAAATTGCATATTTTCTTTTTAAGTTTAAACTGCAATAGATTGTATTCAATAATTAAATGGCCAATAAAGCCCTCCCTACACCTACAGTACCCCTAAACACTTTATTATTAAACACACGTTAGACACTATATTTCCACTTTGCGAACATTTTCTTCATTTTTATTGAAAATAAATGTCTTTCCGATCTGAATTCAAACTTGGATCGATTTGCATCAAAACTTTCAGCCATGCCCCTTTCCCCTACGCGACTGTTGTCAATGCAGCGTCAATGCAGAGTGTGGAATTAGTGTAAATAGCCTCTGCCAAAAAGGCGGGCTATTTGCAATTAAAAGGATACTCCACTTTGTTTGGAAATAGGCTCATTTTACTACTCTACCAGAGTTAAACTCTTGAGTTTTACCGTTTTCGAATCCATTAAGACAATTTTTTTTTATATATTTAGAAGAATATCAGTAACAAGACAGTTTCTGGTCTCATTGACTTCCTTAGTATATTTTTTTTCCTACTATGGAAGTCAATGAGACCAGAAACTGTCTGGTTACTGATATTCTTCTAAATATATATATATATAAAAAATCGGCTGAATGGATTCAAAAACGGTAAAACGAAACAGTTTAACTCCGGGGGAGTTGTAAAATTAGCCTATTTCCAAAAAAAGTGGAGTATCCCTTTAATGTGAAGTATTACAAAAAAAAAAAAAAAAAAATGAAAAAAATTAAAAAAGAATTGAGGCTTCAGAGACTTCAGAGGCTTCAGTAAACATGCACGGACTTCAGTTACAGGCCCGAAACCCACTAAAAACGACCTCACATTTGCACTAGCTGAGACTGGCTATGTAGGACAGGTTTTTCTGAGAGAGGGGAAGAGGAAGTAAAGTTTGAAGTGGTTGGGGGCTCCCCATCAGGCTGATAAGCAGTAAGAGCTTTTAGCAGCTGTCGATGAATCCTGTTCGCTGTACTATGATGAGTATTTTGAGGCAGTTAATTAGATAGTCCGCTTGACTAAATCAGAGAAGTTCAGACTCCAGCAGAGCGGAGTGGCAGAGAGACCCAGCACTGGTGAGCCTGCTGCTTCTGAGACACAAAAGTCTTTAACTCACTAACACAGGCCTAAAGAAATCAGGAGAAATCAAAAAAAAAAAAAAAAAAATGTGTATGGTAATGTTTTGAAACCTTTTGAAGAAAATGCTGCATCTTTGGAATCAGAAATTATAACCTGATGCATCTTTGGAATCAGAAATTATAACCTACTAACTATTTAGCCTTTTTGTATTAACATACACACAATATACAGGTTTTTATTGAAAAATTCTGAACATTCATGAATAATATAATCAATAGACAAACAACTAATAGCCTAATACTGATCAAAAGTGTGGGGTAAGAATTTTTTTTAGATATATATTTTTGGCTCTTATGCTCCTCTTTTGTAACATTAAATTTGTCTTCACTGTCACTTTTGATTATCTTAGTGTCCTTGCTGAATAAAACTATTAGTATCTTAAATAATCTGTTCTGACCTCAAACTTTTGAACGGTAGTGTATAACTATTGAAACCTTATCTATAATACAGCTAATTATTGAAAATGATATTCATCAGATAGTTTAGCTGCTCAGCGTTACTAATTTTAATTGAAAAAAAAGTGTTATCTCTGTTTAACTGAACATGATAAATGTTAGTTTTTATTCTGAAACAAGCCTTTCATTAGGCATTTGAAGACTATGCAGTGCTGTGTTATTTATTTGATTAGTTGTTTGTTATTATTTTTATTGTTTACTTGTCTTTAAAAATGTAGGATATTTCATTTGTAATGTACTGTAGTTTTAGCTGTGCTATCGAATTTGGAATAGAGGATTGTGAATTTTCACTTGTAACTACAATTTTTTAACTGCCTGTTTTTGTGTCACAGATGGTAAACAAATATTTTTGGCTGGTGAATTTGACCATTGGCAGGTGTGGCAAAAAGTTATTTTTAGGCCCTGGATAAGACAGCTTGGGTTTTGAGCAGGGGTGTGATGAGACGCTTATCTCACGAGACGACAAGAGACACGAGATTTTTGCACAATTGTTCAGAAATCCTCAATGACAAAATTCCTGACTGGAAAAATAGTATTGTAAAACCCCATAGGAAAATCTCAAATGAGCCAACGGCAAATTAGATTTCCGGGTTCTGATGTTACTCCTGCACCACTCTAAACCATGATAGAAATAATAGTCAAATGTATTCAAATTTCTACCGTCATATCGTTCCAACTAGTATATTCGAGCCGTAGACCTTTAGTACCAAGCCTTTTGCCCACTGACCCCTGATCCCTCAACCTCAGCACCTGCTCATTCTCGGTGAAGACCCGACGACCGAAGCTCCAGATGATGTTGGGAGTGGGGTCACCTGTGGCCTCGCAAGTTAGTGTGATCTGCTCCTCCAATTCAGAGGCCGTCTGGTTTTCCAGGAACGTGATCTTGGGTTGCACTGTTGAACACACAAAACAACAAGAACTCAAATCAGACGACAGAGACTCTCCTAAAGGAAAACAAACAATGATTTTTCTCTTGTGCATATACTGAGACTTTACAATGGTGGTAATTCCACAACAGTGCTCTTAAGTTGATGAGATGAGAGTGCCGCACTGGCTGGGCATTTTCAATATTTAATCAACACGTTGCTTTATTTTATAATTCAAAAAGAGGATCTTTTGTTTAATGAATGCAGTGGAGTAGCACTTTGATTTACTTTATTTGCCTTGTCTCTAAACTAAGCGCTCTGAAGCAGTGCCGATGGTGGCTGGAGAAAACATCTACACGATGGGGAATAAAAATATTGTGATTGCATTTTGAACTGCGACATAAACATTTAAGAACTTGTATTCATGCAAATATGATATCAATGATACAATACTAAGGCTCGAAATCAGCTCTCAGGTTCAACAGTGTGCTTAAACAATAAACTAGGTAGCAAGGTTTTTCGTCTCAAAATAAGCCCTCTTTCCAACTGCGATAGTTACTCTTTAAAAGCATTCACACTTGTTCTCCCAAAGAGAACCAAACTCAAATCAGTTTAGTTGATCAGAAAGTGAAAAAATAATTCAGTTCTCTTTATATTCACATTGTACCTGCACCTAAAGGATTGGAAACCTGCACCTAAAGGATACTACTACTACTACTGATAATAACAGCAACAACTAAAATTTTTCTAGAACACATGGAGACAATATATTTAATTTTCACAAAGTATAGCATTTATTTTTGGAAGAAAACTGAAGGAAGATCTTTCAGTGTGAAGTTAAAGTTTAATATGCAGCTTATTCTCTGATGGAATGCTACAAAATGCATTTCATTACATTTCATTAGCATAGTAACTTGTAGAGTTGCTCAGCAAAACTCCAAAAGCCCAATGCACGCTTAGTGTAATAGACGACATTATAGATGACACAAATTTGAAACACGCAGTGCATACGCTGTTTAGATATTCATTTAATAACATTGCAACATTTCACGGCTCAACAAGGCCACAACATGATTTGGATTTTAAATTGATTTATTGTACAGCCCTAATGAAGAGAACATTTTTCCTGGTAACTCCTACAGTATGTAAACACTTGTTTTCAGTTCAGCTCCAACGGTAATGGCAGAATTCTTTCACTTACCAAACACACTGAGTGCGACTTCGTCACTCTTCTCTCCAGCCTTGTTTCTAGCGATGCACTGGTAATCTCCTTCATCAAGCTTATTGACGTCTTTGATGGTCAGCTCCGACCCATCTTCATTCAGGCTGTACTTCTCATTGGATTCCAGTACGATATTACCTCTGCAGGACAGAGAGAGAGAGAGTGAGTGACAGAGAGGATATATTTGGCCTTCAAGCTGTTACTTGCTCAGCAAAGTCATGAATACATGATGCCGCATCACCACATACACCAGAAAATACGGAGAGAAAGTGTGCCTGCCCATGAAATGGATTCTTCATCCTGCAGTGCACAGCTTCTCATGAGGCTGATAGTCCAGGAAGAAGCTGGAAAAACATAAGCAGATCTGCTTTGTCATCTTCGGCTTCTTGACACGTCCCTGTCTCGGAGCCAATATGAAAGCTGTAAATAATGTCTGAAGGCCATAAAGATCAAGCTGATGGTATTTTTTTATTTCGAAGAATGCTGCGTGCGTTGTTTCCCTGTGACACTACATCAGTCATGCAAAGTTTGGATCCAAATACCTGTTCTTTTTGCTTATAACGTCAACTGAGCGACATTTTCGACAAACGGCCCCCGAACGACAGCACTGTCAGTGAAGGAGTTGAAATAAATGAGGTTGTGGTGAGCACTCTTATCCCTCCTTCTCCCGAAGCAAAGCTCAGACCTGATGCAATCTTGTCCTCTCATTCCCGCACCAGTCACGACTTGGTTAAAGAAGTCGCTGGAGTTTTGAGTTAAAGACATAATGAAAGCTGCCAGCTGCCTTAGCTGCCACGGCTAACGGCGGCTGAAAGGATGAAATGGTGCCTCTGCCATTCACAGCACTTTTAGTTTACAAGCTCCAATAACTCTGATCCCTCTCCCACCCGGGATTCAGGGAAAAGCTTAGCTTTCAATACAGAGATTTGGCTGAACTTTTTCGTTGCCGTTTTGGCACAGACTGATAAAGGGGCTGCTGAAAAGGAGTGGGTGAGAAATGACACGTACCGCGCCCACGTGACGGTGGGTTCTGGGTAGCCATCTGCGTAACAGGCCAACGTCACGGCCTGGTTGATGTCTGCAGTGGCATTAAGTTCAGTGTAGCGGGTCCTGATACTTGGCAGAACTGGGAGAAAACGAGAAAGGTGAAAAGAACGTTCTGGTAAATACTGACTTTAAAGATAAAATATCTATAATATCTTAATAATAAGTTTTTGTTTTGTTTCTTTTAATTGATATTCCTTGTTTCATTGATTAATATCTGTCTTTTTATTTATTATTTACATGTTCAAAATAAAGATCTCAAATCAAATCAAGATATAGATGACCTAAAATTTTCTAGTGGAGCTCATTTCCCTTTAATATGGAGCTCCATCCAAAATAAATCCAATAATCCTAATAAACCTGGCATTGGTTGGTTCCTTGACGAATTGCTCTGTTTCTTTGGTTGCTTTGGATAAAAGAGTACTCTGCTTTTAAAAACTGTACATAAACCATAAATATATAACAAATTATTACATTTTCTGAAGAAGTCATCACTAAATAGCAAAGTAAAATTTCAGTATGTCACGTAAAGTGATTGGTTGGCTTCAGAACTCTTGGAATACAGTGCATTTAGACTACTTTAATAGTATTTTTTTTTTAAATACTGCTATAATGAAGAATAAAAAATCCTTTAAAGATTTCTGAAACATTCTTCATATGTGTTCCAGAGACCAAACAACAGCATATTCAACAGCATTACATATCTTTTTTTTTGGGGAGAACACACTGCATTTTTTTAATCAGCATTCTAGAAAAAAAAATCTAAAAATCTTATAAAATAAATGTATTTAACCAAAATAAGATTATAATCAAATGGAAAAAAATATTGAATTAAGTTAATTTTTCCAAATGTTGTATTGTTTTCTTCTTTTTTTAGGCATACATTTTTCACTTACTTGTATGTAACATGTATTGCTTTCAAATGCAACTGCCAAAGCAGAACCGTCCAATTGGTGTAAATGTGTATAGACTCTCTGCTCCCGTGTTCATGTGAGGTAAAAGAGCACGTGGCTCTGAGATTGAGTCCTCACCATTGACAATGACCTTAATGACCCTAAGGTCGATTTCTCCCCGGGCCATGATGCGGCCCTCGCAGGTGTAGTCACCCTCATCTGTCTTTTTGATGCTGCGAATCTGGAGGTGGTTGTTGTTTAAGACCTTGAAACGGACTGTAGGTGTGAGATAGAAACAGAGAGAGGGAAAAGTGAGAGAGGAAGCAAAATGAGACTGTAATTACTCTTGAGTAAGATAAGGAGACCATGTTAACGAGCCTCTCATTACATGCTGGGCAGCAAAATGACTCGCTGCACATCTTCTCCCACATAAAATCACTTTTATGGGCTTTTCTGCAGTGCTATCTGTATTCGAAACGCAAAGTAAAGGTGCATATAATATTTCAGCTCCGTGGAGACATTAAAAAGTACTGATATTTTAAAAATTTCAGCAAGATAAAGCACAGCTTTCTGGCATAGACGTTGTAAATTGAATACTTGCTTGCTATTTAGTGCACAGTATACTGTGGACAATGCCCACTTTGTTGGTTTAACAGCATTCATCCGAACTACAAGGAACATCAGTCAAACAAAAGAAGAGCACAGAATAGGTTAACAAGTGAAATGTGGAAAATGTGTTATTAGCATAGAGCAGTTTGGTTTTCAGGCTCCGCTACAATTAGTGGTTTTGCAGTGAAAAGTGGCCTGTGAGTTAGAGAACTGCGGTCACCGTTTCTTCCAGCGGTCTCTGAGGGAGGAGCCCTCAGAGGTTAAAATAGTTTCATCCAAATGAGGCTTGACTCGACAAACAAAACAGTGCAGATGAAAACAACATCAAACTTTGAGTTCTCTCAGGAAAACTTCAGTATCGTCACAGTGCGCTCACAAGAGAACTCGCACGTGATTTTTGACAGGAAATACCAAAGTATGGATGGGAGATCCTTAAAAACATCAGATACATAAGGGGAATGAACGCGAGAGATTGAAAGAGATCTGGTGGTGTACTTCAGTTCTTACCATCAGTCTCAGGCTGGATTCTTGTCTTTTTATATTTCCAGATGATAGATGGGGGTGGAGAGCTGATGACATCACAGATGATGTCAGCATCATCCCCCTCGTTGAACTCTTGAGGCGATGGTGCGTTTTGGAAAGTGAGTTTCTCTGAAAAAGACATTTGATATGCACTTCAGAGATCATCTTCGAAGCCACTATTACTAAAATCCTTTCCTTTTTTCTTGTTTTCTAATAAAAGCTTGAAAAGAAAAGATGAATACGATATAAATGTTGTTTTCAGCAAGAAAATGTTCATACCTAGTTTAAAGGTTTAGTCCTGGTTTTAAAAAAAAGAAACCTAATTAATAGATAAATTCTCTGAAAAATATTCTTTTGAGAATGTTTTTAAATTGTAATGGAAAACTAGACAAAAATACTATGACAAACATTTTTAACATTGCAAAGAAAGGTAAACTGTTCATTAAAGAAGTTTTTTTACTCCAATAATTAAATAAAAAACAATATTTCCAGTAAATAACATTTATAGAATGTCATTTAACCCAATATATTCATAAATACATGTTTATATATTTTGTTACATACATTTTTACTTGAAATAGATTTACATACATTATATTTTTTTTTATATACATTTTTTAATAGTAATTAAAATAGATAATTTGTCAAAAAAACACAGTGGTTACATAAGGATTAACACATTTTAATGAAGCTTCAAAACATTTTGGGCTTGAAATAATAATAAAACATATCAAACATATTTCAGTATCACTCAAGACTCTCCCAAGCAAAAGCAAATAACAATCCTCAGTTTTAATCATCTTTATGTGGTTGATGTGAAATTGATGTGCAGCAACGTTATGCTTTCATTATTGTACTGTTGTTTTAGCATTGAATATTGTGGTAAATGTCAGATGATTTATTGTCTTTGGGGGTTGCTGATGAGTCCAGTTCTATTTGATTCGTTATTTCTCAAACACAAACATATTACTTACGGAAAATTTTTACGGTGACAGTGCCCTGAGACTCCTTGTCCCCGCTTTTGGCCACACACTTGTACATGCCTGCATGGTCGATGTTAGCATTGTAGATTGTGAGTGTCGACGAGGACTCGTCACTCTTGCTGACGCTGATGTCAGGTCTCCCTGGCACAAGCTTCTCCCCATTGGGTGCAAACCAATCTATTTCTTTAGCATCTCCAACAACTGAAACCAGAGACAAGACAGCTAGAGAGAAGACAACAGCTGGCGAGGCAAACTGCACTTTTGACTTAAATGCATGTAAACGGCACGTCTACTCAATTAATCCTAATCAGTGTGGCATTAGTGTATGCAAAAATCCATCCTCCACAAAACAGATCATGTGACGCAAGAACAGAGTCGGACAATTTCCCTAAAATCGCGTTATCGTTTTACATTTCCATATTTTGCATGCATTATATGTTTTAGAAGGATATTTAATCATTAACATGCACACATATAACAAAACACTTACTTAAAACAAATGTACCTACTTACTTTACAACAAACTGAATTGAATATTTAAAATGATTTTAAAATTTCAATATACGAATGAATCACATAATTAGAGCTGAATCACTAAATTTGAATCTATTCAACTCCCCAAGCATGAATCATGCTCTTTATAAATATAAAGCACAATAACAATGTCAACATTAATGCTGTTGCTTAATTTTATTTCATCAACAAAAATATTTATAATATATCATATAATATATAATAAAATGTTTGATAGATAATCCAGTGCTATTGAAGGACATACTCTAGATGGTTAATGTGCAGTGAAATATTTCATAAATCTTATGAAAATATATAAATAATACAACCAAAAATAATATAGCTGTAAATAAGCCACATTTCTTTATTTATTTTGCCCTCTGAATATTTCAGGTGTTCCTCATTTATAATAGATGTTGTTTTAGCTTTTCATCTACCACCATTCCTTAACATTAAATTTCGCTCTGTACCGCAAATCAAGGACAAAAATTCACAAATTGATTCACAGTAAAAGTCAGGCAGGACAATGAATGTCTCTGCTGTAAATAAGCACATCAAAGCTTTAGTCAACCTTGCCCAACCATCAGAACGAAAGGGCTTGTTTAAATGCATTGAACAAGCAGTGTCGGCAGGTTTGAAATCAAAAGCACTTCATGAAGGTTAAATGTGACGTGACCCCCTGATATGTTTCATCACAGGAGGGTCATCCTCCTACCTTCACACAAAAAGAATTTGGACTCTCCCACGCTGATCTCTCCCTGGGCTGGAGTGATATCCACTTGCAAAGCAGCTGGGGAGGAAGAGAGACAGAGAATATATATTTCAGAAATAACCCACATACTTGTACTCCAATCATTCAAGGGATGTGCAAAAGTATGGATTTTTAAAATCAACTAGTTAGTCGGTTGCCTGAATTATTAATCAAAAATCCTTTGCTATCATTTCATCAGATGTAGTACATCAATAAATACATTTTTGGGCAAAAGTTTGAAAGCAGATCTTGAAAAATGTACAAAACAATTCAAAAGTTTGCGGTCTGTAATGTGTGATTTTTATGTTTTTGAAAGAAGTCTCTTATGCACACCAAAGCTGCAACACAGTAATGTAAAATAAAAACTTTTCAAACATATTTTAGCAGCTTTTCAGCTTCAGTCTTCAGTGTCACATGATCCATCAGAATTAATTGTAATATGCTGATTTGGTGCTCAAGAAACATAATAACAATTCTTCATATTATTACCAATTTTGACAACAATTGTGCTTCTCAATATTTTTGTGGAAACCATGACATGTTACTTTAGGATGATGAATAGAAAGTTCAACAGCATTTATTTGAAATAGAAATCTTTTCTAATGTGTCCTTGCTGAATAGACATTCATTTTTTTTTCAAATAACTATAATGATAAAATTGGTAACACTTTAGTTTTCTCACTATTTACTAGTTGCTTATTATTAGAATGCATATTACCTTTTTATTAGCATATAAAGCACATATATAAATGACTTATTCTGCATGACCATATTCTACATACCTAATACCCAATATCTAAACTGCCTTGCTAACTATTAAAGGAGTAGTTCATTTTTTAAAAAAAAAAAATTACTCACCCCCATGTCATCCAAGATGTCCAGTCTTTCTTCAGTCGAAAAAAAAATTTGAGGTTTTTGATGAAAACATTCCAGGATTTTCTCCATATAATGGACTTCAATGGGAACCAAACGGTTCAAGGTCCAAAAGACAGATTCAGCGCAAACTGCAAACCGTTCAAAGGGCTTAAAACGATTCCAGACGATGAATAATGGTCTTATCAAGCGAAACGATCACTCATTAAAAAACAAAACAAAATAAAAACAAAGTTTAAGTTTTATAAGCTCAAATGGTCGCCTTGGTCTGTTCTGTGATGCGCGTTCGTTTGCACTGAAACTGGACCTTGAACTGTTTGGTTCCCATTGAAGTGTATTATATGGAGAAAAATCTTGGAATGTTTTCATCAAAAAATCTTTTCGACTGAAGAAAGAAAGAAATGGACATCTTGGATGACATGGGGGTGAGTAAATTATCAGCAAAAGTTTTTTTTTTTTTTTTAAAAAGTGAGCTACTCCTTTAATAAGCAGTAAGGAGAAGTATATTGAGGCAAAGGTTGTAGATTAGTGAGTAAATACTGATAGGTTCGACCGTAAACTAAAGTGTGACCAAAAAATCTTACTAGCCCCAAACTATTGAATGGTAGTGTACTGTATATTCCCTATCAATTAAAATCCCCTGATATTTGGTCAACGAAACCAATTCAACAATGCAATCATTCATTATGACCCATTCTTAAATCATACCCATACACACTTGTACATGTTCCTCCTACACATCCTAACCGAAGAATTTCAGCAGCAAGCTTTTCTTTGTTATCAAATTACTAAGGTAGTTTACATAAAATCACAGTTTCTGTCTTGAAGCTAAAAGCAGCATCCCCAGTGACTCGGCCTGCCAACCAATTAAAACGCACTCCTGGGAAGGATGTTGTCAGTGGGTGTATGAGGAGCACAGGGCCGTGCGTTTTTGGACCTGAAGATAACAACACGTCAATAGCGCTGGCTCTTTTCCAGCTCTGTTAATGTGGCAGGCGGGGAGGAGTATTTACCGCTGTACAGAAATGGGTGTACGGGGTGTTGGCATACGAGCGCAATGTGCAATAAACCGTAGCCATGGTAACCCTGAGAACTGTCACAAGTGCTTCTTGAAAAACCTCAGTGTTAGACAGGCTGATGCTTGGAATAAATATGACAATTAAGGCTATGCACTATCAGAAATACGGTAAAATAGGTCTCTCGCAAACTCATCTTCCACTCACAGTTACCTGGGGGTTCTGAACTACACTGATATTACATAATGGTACCTTAAGCTTCAATTTTCCAGTTTAATGGAAGGCACTTGATGGAGCTCCCAGGACATTTCTTTTTCATGTGCAGTTGGGGTCCGTAATGCGGTAAATTAGGCATATTAGTTTCCCGATATGAGGCTGATACATTTCATTTTCCTGCATCAACAGCGGTGAGTGAGATGAGCCCAGGCAGCATGCAGCCGTAAGCTCCACGAGCGATAGATGCCCTCACGTCACAAGAAAAAAAGATGCAGCCGAACCACTCTCTCATCTCAAGTGAAACTGAACCTGCCGACATACAACATCTGATTGTTTCTTGTCAGAAGAATCACTGCAAGCATGCAGTGCCTTTGAGCTTGTCAATCATAAACACTACAACCTATCAAGAAATTAGAAGAATGTTTTGTTTCCTGACGCTTGTAAAAAAAGAGAGGAATTGACAAAGAACCAAACCACACGAGATTCGATCTGAACAGCTGCATTCTGCAACACAGAGCTCGCTTATACACACTGCAATCATGGGTAATTCGAAAAATGTTGCATTTAATAAAATCAGATTTTACCCAAAGTGCTCTACATCTGATTTTTCTACCCTGCTAAAAATCCAGGAAGACTTTTGAATTGACATTGAGCAAAACGACTTAAAGGAGATCATTTTTTTTTGTACATTTGGTGTGCTGTCAGTACAGACAAAAACGTCAAAAATCGGTGTTGCCTACACAGTGTATCCTCTTTTTAAAATTCGTACCCTGTTGACTTCAATGGGGCATGTTCTAAACCTGCTTTTAGCCTCTTAACACCCTTGATTTGTCATTACAAGTGCACAGCCATGTGAGTTATGTTATTAAAAGTGACCACGGTCAATCTGACTGCAGTAGATGTGAAAGATATTAATAAAAATGATGTTAATTCAGCCAGCTCACATACCTGTATTTACTTCCTGTTTCAGTCAAAGTCCACACTAGTCGATTGTCGAGTTTGCGCGCGAGATCATTGGTAACTAAATGATATTCAACATTTGATTTGGGTGAACTATCCATTGAACTGATAATCTCAGAACACCACAAAGCACCGTCATCGGCTGATATGGCGCTTTTCCACTGCATAGTACGGTACGGTTCGGCTCAGTACGCTTCGACTCGGCGCGGAACAGTTCGGCTCGCTTTGCGTTTCCACTGCAGTAGTACCCCTTCAAAGTGTGTGGGACTGATCGTTATTTGCGCGCGCCTCTACTGCCATGACATCATCTTAAAAGCGCCACATTTTCAAACCCACAACACAGGAACAATGGAGACTATCGAGGGGATGGTGTTCCTGATTCTCGTTATGTGGTTGTTTTTAACTGCTAGACGGAAAAATGTGTTTAAAATGAGGCTGATGGCAGCAAAACAAAAATACTGCTAAAAAAAGTGTCTCGTGTCGCAAATCCAATGACGCTAGTAGTGACGCTGGTAGTGACGATTCTGTCTGACCAATCAGTGATCTGCAGTGTTTCACGTCACATTTTAGTACCGGTACGGTACGCTTGGAACCTCAACAGACCAGGTACCATTTAAAGCGACCCGAAGCGAACCGTACTGTACCGTACCATGCAGTGGAAAAGCGCCACAAGTGAGACGTACCGAACCGAACCGTACCGTACTATGCAGTGGAAAAGCGCCTATAGCTGACAGTCTTAGTCTCCACTGTTGCTTAGTTACCAATGAACTCGAACTGGACAATCGACTAGTGTGGACTTCGACCGAAAACAGGAAGTAAATACGGGTATGTGAGCTCAGCTGGCTGAATTAACATCATTTTTATTAATATCTTTCACATCTACTGCAGTCAGATTGACCGTGGTCACTCTTGATAATACCACTCACATGGCTGTACACTCGTAATGACAAATCAAGGATGTTAAGAGGCTAAAAGCAGGTTTAGAACATGCCCCATTGAAGTCAACAGGGTGCAAAGAGGATAACACAGTGCAGGAAACACAGATTTTTGTAGTTTTTGTCTGTACTGACAGCACTCCAGATGGACAAAAAAAAATTAGCTCAATGTTAAAATTGACCGGAGTTCTCCTTTAATTAACTTAGAGTAGGACATTTTTTTTAATCTCCAGCCTACATTATCAATCTTAAATCTCTGAGTTTCACTATAACGATGTTCTATAATTACATTGAAACTAAATACTACATTCATTTGAATAATAAGTAAAATAAATATAATTTATTTAATTAATAGCAAGAACATTGTATATAGCACTTTAGAACATTGTATTTTATCAATAGAAATGCTTCAAAAATCCTAAATGCAATGAAGAAAGAGAATGTATGTTTATAAAAAAAACACATCTGTAACTGTTTTCAACACGTTTCTTGAGCACAAAGTCAGCGTATCAGAATGATTTCTGAATCATTCTGATTTCTGTCATGTGACACCTGACTGAAAATTCAGCTTTGCCATCAACAGGAATAACGTACAAATATAGAATTAGAAAACATTACTTTAAATTAATTAAAGTAACTATATTTAGCAATATTACCATTTTACTGTGTTTTCATCAAATAAATGCAGCCTTGGTGAACATCTTTCAAAAACATTTAAAAAATCTTCAAGCTCTAAACATTTGAAGTGTATAAGTGTAGTAGGCCTACATTTATATTTCATGTCAGGCTTTAAATGAAACAGGGTATTTCAGTAGTAGAACAAGGACAATGCAAACATCTGCCAACCTCGACAACCGTGAACACAGACCTACAGAATTTCATCATCATGCTCCAAGATAGAAAGTGTCATGTCTGGTTGTGTGAATATTTGCTCTAGTATCTGCAGTCAAGTAAAGACCATTCCTATTTGTTTGTGTCTGTATATGAAATACACCTAGAGATATTCGCTGACGTTAAAGTACTGTGGGAGGAAACACTG